ACTGTCCAAAGCTATCCGACGGGGATATCGTTTGAGCACGTATGGAAATCCCCGATTGTTAGGACTTTTAAAAGCTTAAATGAAGCAGGGATTTTGACCCTAACAGAGCAACCGGAATTAAGCAAGAAAAATATAAACCGTATCCCTGCCATTAAAATTGATAAGTGCCAGAATTTCAAGCCGAAAAATATAGCCTCACTTTGGGGAACTTTGCACACCGTGTTTATTTTGGTCGGTAGTTTGATTAGTGTAACAATCCCCGTCAGGTTATTCCGACCCAGGGTTTTATTGGGTTGGGTTTTTTGGGTTTTAATGGGTTTTAATGGGTTGTTAATGAATAAAACCCAACGGGTTTTACCATGTTAAATGGGTTTTATTTGGGTTTTAATGGGTTTTATTAGGGTTTTAATGGGTTTTAACTGCGTTTTAGCTTAAAACTATATTCTAAAAGCTGAAAACAGCTGTCATACATTAGTCGAAGTTGTTTGATGGCAGCTAAGTAGTTTATTTGATTAATACTGTAAGTTTTGAAAACCAGGAATAAATCAGGGACATCCCTTACCATTACAGGTTTCAAGTGACAAAAAATACACAAAAATAATTTGGGAACGAGGTATGTTTAACTGATCATACATAATTTAATACATTTTGCGATCATAATTAATACTTTTTTTCCCGAATACTTCCTCTCATCTCAGCGAATAAATTAAACAAAATACTATAGTGTTTTTTAATTTAGTTTTTTAAAATGTTTCAAACCGATCTTAATTATCACATTGATATAATATCACCTCTTGAAAAATCGAGTTCTTATGGACAACGAAGTACTTTATTATGAGCAAAATAGTATATCTGTAAAAAGCACTTATTATATTCTCGATCGTAATACATACGTGCGTTGTGCTTTCGTTGTTCATAAGTACTCGATTTTTTCCAGAATTGACAATACACGTTAAGATGGCATTGAAACATTAAATTTTAAAAACCTTTAAACAACTTTGATTTCATTATGATGAGAGGAAGTATTCGAGAAAAAGGTAATATATGTAATTATGGTCTCATAAAGTATTAAACTATGATCAGTTAAATAGGACCCTTTCGAAACGGATACAAATTCTAACATGGACAAGGAGAATTTGCATATTAACTGAAATTGGATTGCAATAGTTGTGAAAATTGTTGTTCAATGTATTACTTATGTAAAACCTAATAAAACCCAATAAAACCCATAAAACCCATTAAAACCCAAAAAACCCATTAAAACCCATTAAAACCCCTGGGTCGTTACTTTTTGAATAAAACCCTGGGTTTTTCCGAACCCTGATCCCCGTATTTATCATAGAATGCAGACGACGCATTGGTTTAATCATTAGAAATATATTTTTTTGGGTTGTGTTCAGACAATATCGGAAGTCTAAGAGAGTAGCAGCTATTAATATAATGCGTCTCACCGTCGCTGTGTGTGTTACAGGAAGAACAATTAATTAAAGCTGGTGTTTTACACATTAGCACAATTATCGATTTAAATTTTAAGATCAGGTAGCACAAAATACAATTTTACAAAAGGTAATACTATGTCTATTTATAATATCCATAGGGTACATCAGTACGTGAGTTTTTGTATTTGTAGTTGCGGAAATTTATTGTAAATCATGATTGTTAAAATAACGTGGATATTCTTATTCCGATCTTTCGATAGAACATTTGTTATCACTTTCAAGGAAAATTTTATAAATTGATTTCACCCTTCATCATCTTGTAGTTACAGTATTAATGACACTTCAACTATTGAACTTGAAATTGATTCATTGGCGGACCTAAACAACGGCGGAATTCATCGGCTTAATTTATTTTGTTTTCTGCAATGAACTATATTTATGTTATACATAATACTTTAAAATTAAATTCATCGCCTTGTCAAGCTAACTATATATCGAATATATTTTAATCAATAGTGCGAATTTCCAGGAAATTTAATAGTATGAGTAAGAAAGCGAAAGATATCCAAGTCCAATGACCCGAACGAGCTAACAGGTCAAGGTCGTGCGAAAGCGAGCCAGCCGTACGGGAATGTGATTTAAAATGCGAGTTAAAATGCGAGCGGACATGCAGTAATGCGATAATAATAATCATCCCTTTCCATTGCTTTCGTTCCATGCCTCAATTATTTCATTGCTGAATGACTCATCCCGTTTCATAGCTTTGATCCCAACCTGACGCTGTTATTCATTTCGTTGCTAAAAGATTTCACATAAAATTGCGTGCACATACATATGTATCTATATGCACAAAGTTGTTGGCGAGCGAGCGAGAGAGTGACAAAAAAGTTGTTTCGGTAGATGTGCGATGATCTATGCATACTAATGAGCTAATGCTGGTTTGTTTAACGTAATACACATGCCGCGGAACGGTGGTAGCTTAGGGAGAATGTCCCTCCGTGATTAACGCTGCGTGGTGATTGCAGACAACATGTAATCCCAATGTTGTTGGGAGCTAAATTAGCTTAACCTACCTTATGGGAAGACTTTGTCTGTCCGTACTCCGTCTGTCTGTCTGCAGGATAGCGGGAGAACAGATCGAGATAATCGAAATCGCTTTTCGACGTTATACATATGATCCAAGGGGGAGTATCCTATAAACTTTGGGGGTCGATCGGACCACCCTCTCCGACGCCAGTGGGTGTGGTGGGGCAAAATGAGATTTTTGGTGCAACTAAATCTATGCGTGAAATGGAGTGAAATTAAGTGTTTACGCTTTGTGCCACACCCATCTCACCCAGTGGGTGTGGTGGGGCAACATGAGATTTTTAATGCAATTAAATCTGTACGTGAAATGGAGTGAAATTAAGTGTTCTCGCGTTGTACCACACCCCCTCTCATAATAATAATTGTCATCTCAACCCCTCTCATTGCTCTCGTCCCAGCCTGACTCATTCATTTCATTCCGAAAAGACTTCACATAAAATTGAGTGCACATGTTTATATGCAAAAAGTTGTTGGCTAGCGAGTGATAAAAGCAGTCTTAGCACATCAAATTTGATTTGACGGTGGTCGTGTTTGGAAGATAATATCCAGCTTGCAAAAATATTCTGAGTGCGTGTGGTTGTGAACAATTAAATGAAGAAAAATTGGGACTTTAAAAAGGTAAGTAATCTTATATTAAGTCAAATCGATCTTCCTACGAGATGTGGTTTACGGCGTGTCGTTGGCTTAGCCCTGTCGTTTGACCATGTTTCGTAAGTAGATACATATATTATTATATCTTATTAGTCGTGTTAATAAGTCGGAATTAACCATTTTTCTGTCGTGCATTTCAGCAGATATGTCCTAAAACATTATTATATATGACGTTTTGCACAATCGTTTCAGGCAGTAATAGAGACGACGGTGAAGACGACGACACCGTCATCCTCCATTCGATTTGTGGGCGAATTTTCCCTTGAAGGAGTCAATGCATGATCTTCGCAACTTGCCTCGTTGCTAATCAATACAAGGGTTTTGATGTGTGCAGTTGTACGGAGATTGATAAAATCCAATTCAAGAAAACTTGAAAGAATTTAATTAATTGGAAAAATTGGACGATTTTTAAGGTATGCATTGCATACTTTTTTTAAATATTAACTAGATAAATATAATTCGGGGTAAAATTTAACTAAAATATCTCGTGAACCGCCTGTATCTAACTCTTGTGAGTCCACTCTGATGAGATTTACAGAAGACGGCAGGTAGTATATCGATAGTAGGTATTTGATAATCTTATTTGTTCTCGTGTCTTATGTCACTTTATAAAATAATTAGAAGTATGTTTATTCTAAAATCTGTGTTATAATGTTTTGTTATAATGTCATAATGGTTTGTAAAATCATGTTTTATCATATAGTAAAATTTTTAATGCATTTTCTTTAAAACGGAAATTCTGCAAATTTTACTCGTCATCTATGAAAAGAAAAACCGATGTTTGGATATATTTAATCATCAGTTGTGACCGGTCTCGCAATTTTTTAATACTTCATCAGACCTTTTTACAATAAAAAATATTACAAATTATTAAAATTAAAATTAAATAAAGTTAAATAAAATTAGCTGTAGCCATCAAGAATAGAAATAATCACAAAATAAATTTATATTACCTTTGGTGAGATCGAGTTTTTCATTTGTGTGTACACTTTTGTAAGTTCAATGTATTTCTTTCATGGTTTATAATTTGCTTAAAAGAGATTACAAAGTTGAGGTTGTTAATAATATCACGGTACTGTTTATTTTTACTCATATCCTTCTCTGTATTAATAAAATGTGTGAGCGTGTGTTTAAACTGATACATATTGCTGTAAAATGGCATAACTATAAATGTTTTTCGTGTCTCCTTTTCCATTGAATTCATAATTTTGATGAAACTGTGAATGAATCAAGAAACTTGTCTTCATTGTGGACCATATAAGCTCATGATACTAATCAATTATAACCATATGCAATTGAGATCATTTCAGAATGAAGATCAATCAGATTAATTAATAGTCACGTATTTCATTAAAAGTGCTAAAATATTCATCAGTCCATTTGAGGTAAAAGACATCAACATATAATTGTTGGATCAAATCAAGATGTAATTGTGTGTAATCGGGTCAAAAGTAACCTTTTTAAACTTGGATTTATTTGTTGTTGCACAAGTCATTTGTATATGTGTGAAGGCGATATGTATGCACAAAGTTGTTGGGGAGCGAGTAAGACTAGGTGATAAAAAGTGGTTTTTGTAGATTTGTGCGTGCTATGAATAATAATCAACCTAAGCTGGTTAATAAGTGTCGAAATGAGATGAAGAATTGAAGCCTTAAAGGATAAGATATAAGTAAATATTTATATACAAGTGCACATGAGATTGGTAAATACAATCCGTCAATGACGGATAATACGGCACTAGTTTCAATTAATGAGTTTTTTAAATGAAATATAGACACAGGTGCTGCTGAATGTATGATAATTACTCAACAAATGGACAGAATAATCGGTCTGATAAGTTTTTAATATATTATTCAACCAAATCATAAACAGAGCAAAATTATTATCAAAAATTAAAAAATTATATTATTCCCTGGCATATACGATGTCCTCAATGTGATCGAGGACAACCTCCTCAATAAACGCAACCTCCTCAATCAACGGCAACCTTGTCTAACCGGGGTTCAAAAATATTTTTGGACCTGTGCAAGGAAAGAGTTTAGTTTGCTTGAAAAACAAACTACTTTCCGAAATCAAAATGACTCACCATGATGCATGTCTTTTATTGACCACATATGAATATTGTACGTATCTTCCTGGTTGAAATGTTGACGGACAGCCACGTTTCCACTTTTCAAAAAAATAGTGTGGTCTTTTGCCCAGAATTTTTGAATATCCTCCATATCTTCACATGCTGAATATTTGCTCTTAGAAAGCCTGGCAACAAGTTTATTCAATCCCACGTTTTCTATCTCCTTCAAAAGTTGTCTGAGTATGCTGATGAACTCTCCCAACTCACTCTGTTCGATTTTCAAGTGGATACCACAACAACCCGCAAGATTCTCTTCCCAATTTCTAGATAATTTGACCCAGTGTACATACCATACACCTTTTGATTTACTAAAATAAGGCCGTACGAATAGAGGACCTTGAATAATAATTATATTATGTTGAAAATTGATTTTGACAAATGAGATGCGGTACTAAATTACCCGTTCGTCTGGTTATAGGGTCATTCCAAAATTGATTGTTTCTCTTACGATCGGTTTTACTAATCCTATTGTCGCATAGATTTGGCAAGATATGAACATCCTCTTGACTGAAAAAACGCTGAGAATCTTCAAGGTTTGCATCGCCGCTTTCCTCCCAATTTTCTATTACATTGAGGGAATCTTCATAAACCGAACCTACGTCCAATTCCTGGGTAGCCTGAGAAGATTCCATAGCTGCTCTTTTAGCGACCAATTTAGTAAGAAGTCGGTTCGAAATTTCTATGCGGTAAGTTTTTGTGTTTTTTTTGCGGGGTACGGACTTGGTTCTCATATAACAATAATGGGTATAATAATGTGTATAATAATGTGGGATTTCTTGACTATTAGTTAAAAGGTCGGTGGATCAGATTTTGAAGTGAAGTGAAAGGTAAAATGCGTCTCTTTTTATACCAATCAAGCAGTTGTCGTTTGGAATAAAATGTTCTAGAAGAAAGCAGCAAACGTTGGGCAAAATGTGGTGAAAGTATGATGAAATAACATGCATTTGTTGCATCAGGCCTCTTTCTACATAGGTGTGTAGGCAAATAACTTTCGTTACAACCGTTGAACTTTTATTCTTTCCTTTAGAAGCTGGTTTGCACACGAGTTGAGTAAAATATTCTAGAAGAAGGACGATGATTCCCACAAAATGTGAAAGAATTGCATGATGAAATAACAAGCATTTGTTCCATCACCTCAGTGCCTACGTTAATGTACCAGTAAACTAGTCGCAGCTGTTGCACTTTAATCCCTCTCTTCAGAAACTGGATTTAACATGGGTTCTTACGTACTTATCCCTTTTCTTTCTCCATTTGACCGTTAGTGATATATAAGCACACATTTCAACACAAAATTATTCTGGAAGCAAAGTTCTGGAATATTCTTTTCCCATGATTTTTCACTACATAAAGAAAAAATATTACGAGTTTACTTTCATTTAAAATGGAGAGGTCTCCGCCAGAACAGATCCCATTTGCATACTGTTCCTATTAAAAATATTTTACAATTTTAAAGCACTTTCAACTTTAGCATACGCAGCGTGAAAAATTTGCTGAGAACAACAGGTTAAGAAAGAGGCGTCACCGAGGGGAACTCGTGCTCCGTGCTCCGTGGAAAGTGCTCCATCACGTAGGCACTTCCTGTCCTCCAACGACTGAAGTACGAGTGGATTGTAAAAAATGCAAAATTCAAGTTCACATATCACTGCTTCAGTAACAAGCCCAGACACCACCTGCCCTATTAAACCAATTATTCAGACGGAACGCACTGCAAACAGATGGGGGAGAAATGTAATCCATCGACGGCTCTTGTGCCCAGTTTGCACGAATGTTTCATTCACTCAATACAAACATTTCTCATACCATCTTCAGATTAAACATGAGTGCCATTGCTGCCTGTGGTAAGGCTTAGTCATAAAATTACACATATTCACTCACGGCCACATATTCTGATATTTCATTTTCTTGCTGAAGCTATGTGGACGATATTGACTTGCACTTATGTTCGCCTGTCCAAACTGGTTCTGGAGCAAATCAGCAGCCACAACTCAACATTAAGTATTTCAGCCTGGTTGAGAGTGTGTTCAGAGGAATTATTCTCACTTATAGATGCAAATTTGATGATGTGGTGCTGGGATCAATTTCCGAGACATTTGAGTACACTTATGATGAACTGGAAAGTATCCTCACGTATGCATTGCATCTCCATAAGAACATAAGGGTTTCTGTTTCATTGGACGTCACATTGGAACATGTTATTAAAAAAACTGAAAAAGATGTTTCTCTATTCACCCCATTCAATCGTTTGTTCAATTCCAACTATATTTTGGAAACAATGCGAGCATGTGCTGACTATATAGGTAAATATAAACAACATGCGCTCTTTAGCATATGCATTGTTCAACTAAAATATGTAAATAAATTTTAGGAACAAGTTTAGAGTTATACTGTGACGGCGAAAGTGGATATTCACTTGTATCTATCAATTCATTAGAAGTTAAGTTAGGCAAATACAAAACTGGCATCGCAAAGGGCTATATTCGTCTGCCTAAGCAGCTCAGTGCAAGACACTTTTTGAACATCAGATCTCCAGACCCAGAAGACGCTTTATGTTTTGTCAGATGTGTTACCGCTGGGCTATGCAGAAGAAGAATATGCTTGCCGGATGAGCCAAATAAACAATGGGATGACCTAAACAAAAATGAAAAGAGACGCCTCAAACGGCTATGGGAAAAGTCTTCCTTATATGAACATTTAATTCAAGAATTCAGCGAAACAAATGAAATAAATTTCTCTGGCTGTTATAACGGTGTCGACCTGGATTCAGTGTCGCATTTTTTGGATAATAATCCTTCCATTTCATTGACAATTTTTGGGAATGATGGGAAATCACTTTATCCTATTCGTCCAGCTGCAGAAATTAAATCACGTCACTGCGATTTATTATTGCTCAAGCAGCCTATACTTCAGCATGACAAGCCAATGCCTACATCTTTTCTTGACGTTCAATATCGGTATCATTATTGCTTGATTATGACGTTGCCAATCTCGTATGAGTCAGCGGGCAGACACCACAGGAAACAAGTAAATAAAGCTACTTATTAAACTTGTGTGGTTTTCTAACCTCTTGTATTAAACAGGTTTGCCAGTTTTGCTTCGGGACGTATCGCAATCTTGCTCGTCATCACGAGGTTTGCATGCAAAAAGACGGAGTGAGAAAAGTTACATTCCCTAAAGAGGATTACTTTTCTTTTAAGCATTTCAATAGTTATGAGGAGATTCCCTTTAAAATTTACTTCAAATTCCATTACTGTCAATCTCCCGAAAACGACACGAGAAGCAATTATCCCGGAGAATTTTTTTATACGAGCATACATGGTAATTTAGAAGTTTGCGGATACAGTCTGTGTGTAGTTGGTGCTGTGAATAAAATGAAAAATCAACTACTTTCCACTCATTCATTTTTTGGAAACAATGCAATTGAATTATTTTTGAAGCAAATATTCGAATTAACCGAACAAATTAGGGATCAAGTGTTTTTTTCATTTGAAATGCCCAATCATTATGACACCTCTACAACAACTGGAGCATAAATTGAGTACACATTGCCGATTATGTACTGCTGAGTTTTCGGTGGAATCTCCAAAAGTAGCCGATCATGACAAAATTACTGGGGAATTTAGAGACTCTTTGTGCCAAACCTGTAATTCTCTCGTCAGAATTAAACCCACACCAATTGTTGTCGGGCACGGAGTTGCGGAAAGAGAATTGCACAACATACTTACAAGCTTAAAAGGCGAATGGGTCTCCAAGGCCAAAATAATAATGAAAACTGGCAATGAGATCCTATTATTAGAGATAATGGGAGTTAGATTTGTAGATTTCCAGTTTTTTCTCGACGCCCCCATTGAACAAATTATTACCAGGTACATTGGAGCAAACACAGTAGATACATGGGCGACAAGATGTCCGCTATTATACGAATGGTACAAGGAAAAACAAGAATATGTGCACAAATTAATTCCCTGCCTTGCATACCCTGCAGCATTTTACACTGGGCCAGCGAGCATGGAATATAATGAGTTCCCTCACCAAGATCTTATCGGATTGCCAGACACAGAAGAAAAACTATCCAAGTCAAGAGACGCATTCAGCTTGTTTGACTGCAAAAATTTTCGTGATTATGCTACACTATACGGAACATCACAAGTATTGCTATTAGCTGATGTTGTAACTAACTTTTTAAAGTTTACTATGGAGAAATTCGAGCTCTGTTTTTTGCATTACGTTACATTATCCAGTTATGCTTGGGATATCTGCAGAAAAATATTTAAAAATATTTAACGGCTTCCAGTTCATCAAAGATAAAGAAATGATTGAATTTCTCGACTTTGTGGGGGGGCCGTGCGGAAGTGTGTGTAGACTTTTGGAGGCAAAAAATGAAAAGCTAAATACATTTACGACAGACAAGGAACGGTCCCACATATTAGTGGTGGAATATTATTCGAAATAGCAAAATTCCCCACTCTGAATTCGAGTGGGTGGAGGATTTATCGAGTATAAATATTGACAACTACGACGAAAATTCTGACACAGGCTACATCATTTCTGCTAATTTAGATTATCCGCGGGACGTAGCACTAAGAACATTAAATTTGCCATTGATGCCTTACCATCGTAGCGTGAGTTTGCAAGAATTGACGGATAAGGAAAAAAAGGCATGGGTTGAGATGCAAGGGACTGGGAATTCACGAGGAGTAGAATCCAGGATCATACTAGATGTACACAATAAGACTGATTACAAATGCGAAATTGCAACATTAAAATATTACAAATCAAGAGGAATCGTTATTCGTAAAATTAATAAGGCAATCAAGTACAAGCAGACAAATTGGTTAGGTGAATTTTACGAGTTGGTGTCCTTGCTCCGGAGAGAAGCAAAGTTATCAGGCGATGAAATTGGGTATATGTTTCTTAAGCATATCCACAATCGAATATTTGGTTACCTAATGCTTTCCTCCGAAAAGTACGTTGATGTCCACATTGCATGTACGTCCGACGAAGCAATTAAATATATGTCGAAGCACAATTTCATGTCTTACCAAATACTGAACCAAAACGAAGAGATTGTCATGTTCTCGATGCGAAGAAATACAGTTCACTATAACAAGAACCCTGCTGCTGCTTCTTTTGTCCTTCACAGGTTTTTTATACTTCATTCATTGCATTGAAAATTTAGAAAATAAATAGGAGTAATTTACTATAGGGCAAAGCGCTCACTGTATTCGTTTATGGAGATGCTGGAATCCAAACTTGGCCCAGGGTTGAAAGTTAGCTTTTATGACACTGAAGCCATAGCATGCCAGGGTCCAGACCCACATAATAATTTTTATGAGCGACTGAAGACCATTCCAAACTTGGACTACTCCGAATTAAACCCCTTTCATGTTCTATATGAAAGCTCCCATGCAGGTGAAGGAGGATACTGGAAGGTCCAAACGTTAGAGGCAGTGGAAATTGTCGTAAGTTTCGAAAAAAACATAAGGACGTTTGTATAGTAATTTTTGTACGTAGTCACTGCGAGGAAAGTGTTATTCCGTCAAGGAATTCTGTTCGGTCTGCAATAGTTCTGGAGACCGTAACTGCATCTGCTCCGGTCGGAAGGCCTGCTCAGGATTTCCAGATGCAAAACACAGATTGACCCACGAGATGTACAAAGAATCGTTATTTAAGAACCAACCACACTATGTGGATGTTAACCTTCTGCAGGCAAAAGATCATAAATTGAAGATTGTAAAAAAACGCTTCACTGCTTTTGGTTCTGTAAATAGCAGTCGAATAATACTTGGGGATGGCATAAATACTCTCCCATTTGGTGCGGGTTGGCTGCGTCCTATTCCTGATCTAATTCCAATAAAAACTGAATAATCTAAAATTAATTTTAGAAAGTTTTTTTTAAAGTCCAATTCATGTTAAAGATATTTCTGAGAAACCGGTTAAAAGAGCTGCAATATATTACTTTCCGTCATTATATTTCCAACCTTTGAGGAGTTTTCATGTCATTCATTCATGGAAAATATCAAATTAAAGTAACAACGAAAATTTCAACCCACTTTGTTAGTATAAGAGGATGAAGAAAGTCAATTGCGTAAATTCGAAGTGCGAGTTGGAATCCAAGATGGCTACAATGGGAGGAGGGCGACTACGTATCCAAGGCGAAACATATATTCCACTCCCAGAAAGTACTTCAAAGAAACCCAAAGTAGTAAAAGCGATAAAACAAGGTGGTGGTGGCTCCTCCACAACCAGATCAGCACCGAGTGCACCTAAACGAAAAGTATCTCCCAAGAAAGCTGTGGCATCTCCCAAGAAATCGATCAAAAGAAAATAAACCAAGTAAAGCAAATAACTAAAAAAAGTAATAAAGAAATACAACGGGTTAACCCTCTGAATGTGAGTTTGTCAAAATTTGGTGAAAGATAATGAGTTGTGCTAATTATTTTGTTGTTCTAGGAATCATCAAATTGCCCTGATCTGCGGATTCGAGGTCCGTAAATGCTATACAATTCATGTAACTTTTTAACATTTTGGTTTAATTATTAAAGAAATTCATGGTATCGTTAACATTTTGGTTTTAATTGTTAAACAAACCCATGTCATCGTTAAAATTTTTTAAAATGAATAAAATTAGGTCAATTTTGTTGAAATTGGGCCAAATTTGTTTAAAATTTAATAACTAAGTTAAACAAGTTCATATAATGTTTAGCATCTTACAATGAATAAAATTTGGTTTTGGGAAAATATAAACAGTCTGTTTCTTCCTTTTTCATTCATAAATGGATGAAATGAATCCATGGCTTTCCTTCACAAACCACATCATTAAACACATACAAACAAAACCAGGAGCATCATTACTTTCACACACACACACTACGAGCTTCTAATACTGGTGAAATGGAGTCAGTCTGTTTTCGCACTGAGTGAGTGAGTGATCTAAATAACACCGTGGTTATTATACATTTTCCAGCCAAGAACATGAGGTAAGCACATATTTAAGCATATATTTATTTTAAATTTTAAATTACGAAAAATTCTCGATTTTTGCAATTACGCAAAATTGTATTTTTTTAACTCGTAATTTTGAATTACGGTAACAAGCGTAATTATTAATTACGCAGTGGTCGTATTTTTTAGTTGTGCAGTAGTCGTAATTTTGAATTACGATAAGCGTAATTTTTATTATGCAGTGGTCGTAATTTTGAATTACGAGAGGAGGCGTAATTTTGAATTACGCATTCGTGATTTTGAATTACGAGAGGAAGCAAACGATTCATTGCAAATAATAATATTTATTTCATTTACAGGAGGGTGATTGCTAACCCTCCTGTGGAAAAGCAACGTAATTTGTTTTTAATTAAGGAAAGCAGCGTAATTTTTTATTTACGCAGTGGTTGTAATTTTTCAATTACGTAGTGGTCGTAAATTTCAATTGCGTAAATTATATTTTCTTCTAAAAACGCAAAATTGCAATTTTTAACGACGTAAAGTAGGTATAGTAATTCAAGTTGAATTACGCAGAATTTTTTTCTTAATTTATGTTTCTAAATTTGGTGAAACGTAATGCATGATAACAAATTTGTTTCTGTATTTTAGGAATCTTCAACTTGCCCCTGATTTACGGATTCAATGTCGCCTTCAGTAATTGCTATTCAACAAGTTCGTGTAATCTCATTTTGGTTTAAATTGAATTTTTAACATGTTTAAGTTGAATAAAATATTGGTCAATGTTAAACAAATGTGGTTAAAATTTAGCAATTAAGTTAAACAAGTTCATGTGATATTTTTTTGTATTGTACAATTAATAAAATTTGATTTTAGAAAAAATATCTAATTTGCAAATTATTACACTCACTCACTATGTGGTGTGGGGGTGTGGCACAACGCAGGAACACTTAATTTCACTCCATTTCACGTATAGATTAAGTTGCACCAAAAATCTCATGTTGCCCCACCACACCCACTGGCGTCGGAGGGAGTGGTCCGATCGACCCCAAAAGTTTATAGGATCCTCCCCCTTGGGTCGTATGTATGATGCCGCAAACCGATTTCGATTATCTTGTTATGTATGCATTTAGAGGAGAGATGACAGAGGAGATATGTGTAGTTTAGGAAGGCTTTATTAATAATAATCGTGGTTGCATTATTACATTGCATTTTGCATAGATTACCTAACACTACCCTCTTGCAGGAGACTTTTTCTCCTGAAAAAGAGTAGTGACGCTAACTTAACTACGAGTGATTACGACGAATTTACTAAACTGAACAAAGCATACGAGTGACGAGTACGATCACTCGGGACAAAGGAGAGGCGGAATAACGTCCGCCATTATTCTACACAACTACACAACGAGGCAAAGGCGAGGAAAAGTCACTAAATTTATAAAATTTTGAGGAACTAATTAATAAAATTGTTCCAAAAATTCAATCCAATTGATAAAATAAAGTGCTACATATCTGCCACATCAAAAATTATGTCAGGAAGCGGATTCACAGCAAAGGTAAGTACTAAATACATATATATTTTTTTGGAATATTTTTTTTGGAAATTTTGGGAATTATGTACAAATAAATTGTGAAAATCATGAAATTGGTTAAAAATAAATGTATATCTAGTATCGACAAGGAGTAAAATGACTATAAAACTAATTGTTGTGTTGATAAATTGCAGATTCCGGGTTTGATAACATCTAAGGGTACCCCTTGGGGGGAGGACCCTTAAGGGTGGGGGGAAGGGGGGATTTAAGGCCCTCCTCAGAGGTCAAAGGTCACCGGGGGTGTGGCTGTGGGTGGGGTGGGTGGTCTCGGGAACTTGGAAAAATTACTGGAAAACTGGAAATTGCTGGATGACGTCATCCACCGACTGTCTCACTCCCGGTAAGCGGAACTACAAAGGAAATAACAGGAGGATCGAAACGTGGGAGCAAGCAGAGAGCATTTGTTGTCGGGTCACAGTTGAGTGATATGGTCGGCGTGATGGGGATAATACGATGTTTGGGCAGGGCAACGTAATTCACATCGATTTTCACTTGACAGACGTCATCGTTGAATAAAAAGGGCAGGGGTTGGATTCGTTTCATTTCGTACGTCGTATTCAGGCTCACTAGGGGGATGCGAACAGTCGCAACCACTTTGTTCGGACTAAACAAACAAGTCGCTAAGGGATAGCGAAAAACGTCCTCCAAGTCGCTGGAGGGGATGCTGAGCTCTCTGTTATGTTAAAGTATCTTCCGTTGCAGGACTCGTAGGTCGCGTCGCAGCATCTTCGGGCTAACAATAAAGCGTGGGAGTAGTGACTGCCTGCGGTCGCTAAGGGTCTGGATCCAGTTTTGGTTCAGTACTGTCTGAAATTGGGCGACGGCCAGGGCAAAAAGGGAATGGTGGTCATCCTGGGCTTTGGATTCTAGTGTCTCTTCTTCATTGGCGATATCGCGTAACTCGTTGTGAACTACTCGGTCGGTTTCGCTAAGGGCTTTCTCGAGGGCCTGAAAATCTTTGTTAAAAATTTTAGTGGACTCAACTGTGAAGGAATGCTCTGCTGTAAGGGCCGATTGAAGTTGTAGGGTGAAATTATCAAGGTGGTGCTCGTTAAGCTGCATGCGGTCGACAGTTTTTTGTTGGGCCACGCCACAGCACCAATTATAAAAGTCGCCAATGATTTCTATGGAACGGCGGTGACGCGTTGAACTGGGGGACGGGAAAATTGGGAGGAGTCGAAGTGCAAGAGAGTGGGTGGCTTCAGTTTCGAGCCATTTGGTCAGGTAACATGATGCGGTAATGATGTATTTTTTGTTGGATTTACTGGCAGGAAATGGGCCAGCCACGTCTATTTGAACACGTTGAAAAGCATTTTTTGGCACTTTTATGCATTGGAAAAGTCCATTGGGTTTAGATCTGGGTGATTTCCGAAACTGGCATTTGGAACAGGTGGCTACATATCGCATTATTTGACGACGCATACCAGGAAACCAATATCGCTGCTTGATTCTGTCGTACGTTTTTGTAAACCCCATGTGTCCGGAAAATGGGCTGTCGTGACACTCATCTAGGACGGAAGGAATGAGTTTTGACGGAATAACCAGGGTTAGACGGTTATATTGGTTATCACGTTTAAATAGTACGTCATCTTTTAGTGTGAAATGCTCATTGATTTTTGTATCTTGTCCTAATTTCAGTTTGTTGATAATTATGGCTAGTTCAGGGTCGTCACCTTGACTGGACATCAAATTAAGAGAGCCAATTGTCAGAATAGGGAGGTCATCAAGCTCATCACGATTTGGTTGAAAATCTTCAGTCGGATAGCGACTGAGGAAATCGGCACATTCATGTTTCTTGCCACTCACATGGCGAATTTCAACTATTGTATAATCCATTAGACAAACAACCATACTTGACAGTCGAGAGTTGAGCTCTTGTTTTGACCCTTGGAGAAGCCAGCAAATCCCGTGGCAGTCTGTGGCGATGGAAAGGGGGACACCATAAATGAGGGGTCGCAGGCGTTTCAGGGCCCAACAGATGGCTGTGAGTTCCAACATGACTGAGGGATAGCGTTTCTCAGCTACGGAAAGAGTTCGTGAGATAAATGCTACCGGATGTTTCTCGCCCTCATAGAATTGGAAGAGTCCGGCTTCTAGTCCATAAGAAGAGGCGTCGGTTTCTAACAGGGTAGGAAGGGCAGGGTCAAATAATCTCAGCACTGGTCGTGACAACAGTCGTGCAATGACCGTGTCGAAGGCAGCTTGATGTTCTTTAGTCCAGGTAATTTTCCCTCGGATGGTTGATAAACATTGTAACGGGTGGACAATGCGGGAAAAACTTGGTATATATTTGCGAAAATAACTGAAGAATGCCACTAGTTTCTTCACTTTGTGTCCGGTGGTGGGGGGTTTGAGCTGGGACACACCACGTAATTTCTTCTCATCGGGTTTTGTCCCCATTGCGGAAAGAGAAAAACCGAGTAAATTTATTTCGTCTTGGAGAAAGTCGCATTTATATGGCTTAAGAGTGAGCCCTTCGGCGGCAATTCGTTCAAAAATTAATCGTAATTTTTCCAATGCTTCTTCCTCGGTTGCTCCAGCGGAAACTATGTCGTCAAAAAAATTCTGGCAGACTTCACCCTTAAGGCCGTAAAGTACTTCATCGAGGAGCTCGGCGAATCGGGCGGGGCCATTTGAGACCCCAAATGGAAGAACGGTGGGGGCAAAGGTACCCTCACGGGTCACGAAAGTTGCTTTCTCCTGGGCTTCAGTCATAGGTACCTGGTAGTAGCCTGAGGTAAAGTCGAGACTGGTGAAATATTTCTTGCCACGCAGGGACTGAAAAATATCATCAATGCGAGTTTGTGGCCACTGGATCTTTTTGGTAATACGGCTAAGGGACCTGTAATCTACCGTAAATCTTTGAGAGGTCAGGTTGCCGTCGTCATCCTTTTTCGGGACGAAAAAGCAAGGAGAGGACCATGACCCACGGATGGGACGTACAATTCCTTGGGCTAAAAGTTTGTCGACGTGACTTTTGATGTCTCTGTGAATCTTTTCTGGGTGACTAAATTGTTGCATTCTAATGGGAGGATGATCTCCGGTGTCAATATCGAATTCTACACGGTCGGTTCGCCCTAATTTGGTTGGGTCCCATGAAAAAATATGCTTAAATTCCGTGATCAGAGAAAGCAACTTGGCTCTCGTAGAAGGCGAAATGTTGGGATTGATTTTGAGGTTGGTCAGATCCATAAGAAAAGGTGGCGGTGAAAGTTCAGCTGCAGCTACCGGTGGTGGAGAAAGTGCGGCTGGTGGTGCTGAAAGTAGGGCTGATGGTAATGGCGGTGGTGGTGGCGGTGAGGGCCCCGAGGCTGCTGGTGAACTTGAACCGCTGAGACGCATCAAGTAATTTCATGTCCATATTTCTGTTTAGTGATTGCATAATTTCTTTGTTATCGCAGGAATGGAATAATCGTTGCGGGGCGCTTGTATACGGGACGGAACCAAGGATAGGAGACATTAAACAGCGAAAGGATTCGTTGCTGGACAGGAGGAAATGTTCATGAAAATCATGCCCAAGGAGAAGAGGACATGGTGATGAGGGAACAACGAAAAGCGGGTATGTCACTTGTTGGGTACCAATTTTGAGAGGTAGAATGACCAGGCCGCAATCTCTAATTGTATGATTGCCAAAATCCGACAGTCGGTAAGGTAAATTTGGGTTAATCCGGGGTAAACCAACAGCAAGGGCTTCTGTGATGATTGAGGCTTTAGCACCATTATCGACTGTTGCAGTGATTCGTTGATTATTGATAAAAGTGTCGATTGTTACTGGTCCATGATTAGCAGAGAAATCTTGCAGGTTGATGCGTAAGTCAATCGTATTTTGGTTAAAGGTAACATGTCGCGGTCCAGCAGGGTCAAGGGAGGGGGACGATGGACGTAGAATAGATTTTAAAGGCTTCAGGGATGGTGGGCAGATCAATCTGCCCAAAGCCGGGCGTTTCCCGACGGGGGCGGTGAACCGGGAGGGGTACGCGTTGAACGCTCATCCCACTGATGGTTTTCGCGTCGCGTGTCGTCACGATCCGTAGTATTATGATGGAAGTTGTCACGGCGACGGGGAGATTCATCACGGCGGCGTGGCTGAAAGTCTGAATTGCGACGCTGATCGTGGGGGGAGTCATCTCGGCGAGGGTAGGCACGGTTGTCATTGCGACGGCGGTGGTCACGAGGAGAGTCGTCACGGCGGCGGTTATCGCGGCGGTAGCCAGCACCGGAGGTATCGCTATTACGATTCCCACCATTGCGACCACGCCCTTGGCCATTAAGTTGAAGGCCATCATCACCACGCATTTTCTTGCGACACTCTATAATTCTATGTCCGCGGATGCCGCAGTAGTAACATTCAAATGAGGGGCGTTGTCCGTTAGGACGAGGCGCACGATTATCCTGGGACTGATCTGGGCGAGATCATGAGCCGTGATTTTGACACATTAAGTCGCATGATAGCAGCTTGTAGATCGCTAAGGTGATTAAGCAGACCTTGCATATTCTTAACATTGGTCAAATTCACTCCGAGTGACAGTCCTCCGTCAGTTGCATTATTCACGGGCTTAGGCTGAGCCGTGGGCGGAGCTAGTGGGGTTACGGGGGCCTGGTGGAGGCCAGCGAATGCGTTGAGTCCAACAGATTAAGGGGGAGCGGTTGGGGAGATAATCGTTACGGGCGGTTGGAGTTGAGGGGTCAGTGTTTTCTGCAGGCCACGGTCTTCATAATGCTTCACAAGTGACACTAAGTCACCATAGGTCAAAGGAGGTCCTCTGCACTCGAGGAATTGACGTAGGGAAGGGTCCAAATTGTCCATAAGGAGTCGAATGATATCTGGTTCTGCATGGCGTGTGTATTCCTCAGACATTGCAGCGCGAAGTCGTTGCAAGTAGACCGATGCTTTATCGAGCTCTGGTTTTGGGGATTTTAAGAGGTCCAGGACGGACGTATGATCATCAGCCTCCATTGGGCATTTGGTCAGAAAATTGTTAATAAAGGTAGCCCAGTCAATGGCTGGATTGTCTTGTTCCGCGAAATTGATCATGAAATAATGTTGGGCAGTGGCATTGGAGAAAGCCAAGGGAAGAGTTAATTTGGCTTGAATAACAGTTAAGCGTTTTGCTTCCGCCCAGCGCTGGAAACGCTGAATAAAAAGTCGAACTCCGAGCTTGGATAGTTCATGTCCATATTTTGGCATTTCGAGATTAATATTAACCAGAGGAGCTGGTTGTGGAGGGCTACCGGTAAAGAAATTCCTCGCGGCCATGTTGGCGGTGGCGGCTGCTGGAGTGGGAGGAGGAACTGGAGGTCGGTTTGGCGGGGGCGGACGGATGAAGGGGGATGGAGAGGACGGAAACCGAAAAACTGCGTCTGGGTTTAATGCTCTTGGTCCGAAGAAAAATGTGTTAGCTGGGGGTGGAGGAGGAGGGTTCGGGGGTCGCGAAGGTTCCGGGGTTGGTACGTAGTTCACTGGCTGATTCTCGCGTATAAAAGTAACGGAAGGAGGACGTACTTAGCTGGTTGTTTAACAAATTATCATTTATATTTCCAGGGAGGATGCTCGACGCGGAATGATCTGGGTCGGGGGCTGAGGGGAGGTGCGATAGCGGAAGTGGATCACTATTGGTATCTCCAAAGTCATCAGTCACAACACCGCACTGAGAACTGTCTGTGGGGCTGACGATCTGGTGTTCACGGTCAGAGTCAGGGTCAATAGGGTCACGTAAATGGTCAAAACGTCGGCCAGAAACAAATACACTTTGGGGAGCTTCGAGCAGGTTTGACGGGGGAGGTGAGGGGTCAGTGCGTCGACTGAAAAAGTTCCAAAGGGGCATCGTCGTGGAAAAATTGCATTATGTTCGTCAGGAAAGGATGTGTACTTAATTTTGAATAAATTGTATAATTTGCACTTTAAGAGATTATGTATGTAAAAGTTAATTTCTTGGCAGTCAGAGGAGAAAAAGTACTCTGGAGGTCCCATGTTATGTATATATGATTATACATAAATAAGTGGTACACAGTGAGAGGAGACAGAGGAGAGTACTTATTTATTGGAAGAGAGTTAAAGCTGGAGTGATGTACAGATTCAGAACTAATTACATATACATATCTACGTAGGCATACATATACCTAACAATCTCGATCCGTTCTCCTGCTATCCAGTAGACAGACAGACGGAGTGCGGACAGACAAAGTATTTCCATAAGGTAGCTTAAGCTAATTTATCTCAAAACAACATTGGGATTACATGTTGTCTGCAATCACCACGCAACATTAATCACGGAGGGACATTCTCCCTAAGCTACCACCGTTCCGCGGCATGTGTATTACGTTAAACAAACCAGCATTAGCTCATTAGTATGCATAGATCATCGCACATCTACCGAAACCACTTTTTTTTATCACTCACTCGCTCGCCAACAACTTTGTACATACACATATATATGCACTTAATTTCATGAGAAGCTCCTTTAGCAACGAAATGAATAACAGCGTCAGGTTGGGATCAAAGCTATGAAACGGGATGAGTCATTTAGCAATGAAATAATTGAGTCAGGCTGGAACGAAAGCAATAGAAAGGGACGATGATTATTATCGCATTACTGCATGTCCGCTCGCATTTTAACTCGCATTTAAATCACATTGTCGCACGGCTCGCTTGCTTTTCGCATGACCTTGACCTGTTAGCTCGTTCGGGTCATTGGACTTGGATATCTTTCTCTTTCTTACTCATACTTTAATAAGTACTCAGGCCATTGAATAACTTTTAAACTAACATAGCAAGATTAACTGACATCATTTTTATTGTTAGCCCGTCCCTCTAACGTTTGCGGCAAATGGAATATTGAAAAATAGCCCACATGACGACGAAATCTACGTCGACCCTGGTCCCTTCAAGGCTTGGGAAACCATATTTTATCCCGCTGGGAGCCCTACCCGTGTAGATTATCAACACAAACTGATACACAGATAAAAATGAAATTCCCTGTAAATCTCTAGTTAGTCACGCGACCGTTAATATTGAGAAGGAAATCCAAAACACAGCCAACCCATATTTTCAGCAACTGAGCTACTTCCCGCGGCCATATTTCATTAGACGTCTCGTTTCGATCTGCAGATTTGTTGTCCATACTTGCTTTGCAGGGAAAGGACACCATCCCTCCAGCTGAAATGGCAATTAAAGTTATTCATACTTCTTTTTAATGGAACATGATGTGAAAAGAGATGAATGAATTTACTTGTAGAGTAACCCGAACAATAGCAATTGAAATCCCCGTTGTGAACATCACCGCACTTGCCACCTTTAAAGTTACAGTTGTGATTAATTATTACATGATTTATTAACCATTGTACTATGGGGTGGTCCACAAATTATGTCACGCTGAAGATGGGGGGAGGGGTTCGAAGCATCCGTGGGGTCCTAAAAAACGGCTTTTTGGCGTGACAGAATTTATGGATCACCCCTATTGAAGTACTTAAAAATGTTACCAGTTGACCCGTGATTGTTAATGCAGTCAATCTGTAAGAACAATATTAATTAAGCATGCAAGTTACGTGCTTTGCTCTTATTTGCGCATTGACTCAGGCAATATAAAATTTGGTTGTTAGAGCTAGAATAAGAATATATTAGTTAAAAATTCTTACCGAGCAAGGAAAAGAATCACTGATCTTAAGTAAAAACCTAAATTTTGCTAAAAGGACTTCTGCACTTCTTCTGTTTGGTGGCATCCATTCGCATGGTTTAGGGTGAGCCCCAAACAATTAAAGTGGCCTTGAATATAAATCCGCAGTGCCTCTAGTTAAAGTCGATGTTTAAGAAATTGGCTCGAATTGTTTGACATTTGCGTGTGAAAAATTAATACCGTTTTTTCCTTCGTTTGTCCGGATGTTAATGTAGTATTTTCAATGTTTACATCAATACGGACCACCAGCGAAGCAGACATATTTAAATTTACGTATGCATGTCATTTCCTCTGCCGAGTTTGAAGCACATTATTTAATTAGATGAGGGACTTTTGTGGAGCTTAAAGTAGATTAATATTACTTTGCTGGACAAGCAATTCCCCAGAAAACACAGGTTCGTGTATGTAGTGAATATACTTATGTACGCATATACATTTTGACACGTATGATATCATGCACTAATAATAATGAGGATTTATTTTCCACTCTAAGTCAATCCATTAGATTAAAAAATATGATCAACCCCTAACACGTAGGAAATTATCAATCCTTGCCTACGTGCAGCCAATATTTACATTGATATGAAAACGTCCATACCGTCCATTATGAACAAAAATATTTAGGTAAAATTGTATCCACATTTTTACGTGTTTTGCCTAGGGATTCACCACTTTGTAAATTTGTCATAAGTTGTAGCTCAAAACTGGAAAGTAGCTTAAGTAGTACACACGTTCGACTCAAATTGGGAGCGTTGCCTGTGAAGTGTTAAACTGTTTAGCATATGTTGCAAATATGTCGTGACATTTAAGTAACTCTTAGTACATAGTTGAGTCATAAGTTCTCGTGAATGCATTTCCGGTAATAAATCCCAAAGTATTAGAGCTATCTGTTCGAAATTTTTATGGATTAACAAGGTATTAATATTGTTTAGAAATCATAACTTCTTTGTCAAGATTTCGTCCACGGGCAATTAGACAAGACATAACTCGTGACGGCCACAGGTTGATCGTGGTACGCGCCAATTTTCGTGCCAAAAGTATTTCAGACTTTTCAGCGTTGGCGAAAAATTTAATAGAAGAAATGGCCAGATATTTGTTCTACGGAAGTCTGACATCCGTTTAAGTATGCGGAAGTCAATACGAAGTCATCACCGTGGTGTGCATGGGAGCAAGTTGGCTGGAGAAATGAAATCTCTGTTTTTTACCGCAAAGGGTACAAGTTGAAGCCAAGAATTATTTTCAGAGTGTCCTAGAGACAAACGTTAATAACCTGAACCCTGGACCCTCCGAAAATCGCCATTGGATCTTTCAACAAGACTCTGCTCATGCGCAAGGTGCAAAATTGTCCAAAACTGGCTTCAGACGAATTTTCATGACTTTTTTTGCTCAGTATCTGCAGACCTTAATCCCCTAAATTATGACTGGTGGTCAAAATTATAGGTACAAGTATGCTCTAAATTTCACCCAAGTGTGGAAGGGCTGAGGTCGCACTTACTGAAGATCTGGCGCTTTTCCCTGGAAATCCGTGCGTGCCGCGATCGAGCAGTTTTCGCCACGACTTATGTTTTGTGTACAAGCCCATGGAGGAAATTGTGAAAACGAAGTTATGATTTCTAAACAAGATTAATACCTTGTTCATCCACAAAAATTTCTATCAGATAGCTCTAATACTTTGGGCTTTATCACCGGAAATGCATTCACGGGAACTTATGGTCGGACTATGTAAAATATCCAGTAGTACATGGTCGACATTTCTATTTTTCTTGATGCCATTCAAATTAGTACTTTGCTGAATATCCTCATTGCATTACATGTCTCTCAACCTAGAACGAGTCAGCATAATGACAATGCACATACAAACGTTTACATTAATTACATATGTATTCAATTGTTCTGACTTTTACAAATAAATTGAACCACCTACATATATAATCGTTAACATAATCTGACTGGCAAAGTTGATACCTGGTTTGGATATAAGTTTGATGGGCTAAAGCTCTAAAAATGATCGTATCAAATAGGGCAATAATTTTAAACTATGTAATTAGCTTATTGCTGACGGACGCCTAAACAGGTCGGGTTAGTTTAGTTTAATAATCTAATAAAATAACTTATAAAAACAAATATGATTAGACGTATCAATAAGAACCAGCCATTGTAAAAATTTTTGACAAGACATGCATACATATGAATGCATTTTTAATTACACTTATGTAAAGTGAAAAGAATTGTGGATATCATATATACGTTATACATTCATAGTTAATCAGAGACATTCATTGTTTAAAAATGCATCTCAACAGTTTTTTTTCTTCTTTTATGCTTAACCTTTGCTTTTATGAAACCTGGCCATGCCATGCGCGCAATATCAAGCTTTCGTGATTTGCTTAGTAATTTAAATGAATGTGATTTGCAAATAATACATTCTAGAGATTATCAGAACCAATTGTCTCTCAGTGATTTAGGCTTCATTTCTACTACCATCTTTATGCCGAAGTATGAATCTGCAAGCGTATTCCACTTGTTGACAACCCCTATCTTGTTGAAACCTAATGACCTCCCTGCCCTGGACACGCTTAAAGTTCGCGTTTCTCGGTGTAGATTAAGTTTTATCTTTCTGGAATTAGGAACTAAGAATTCAAACAGTTTACCCTTCCAACATCTTGTCGACAGATGGATCCTAGTTGCATCAAAGTATCATCTCTTCTACGTCGAATTTGTTTCGCCATTCTATCCAAATTACTTTATTGAAAACACAAACGCCGTAATTACTTTGGTCATAAATAAACAAGAGTTGCCAGAGTTGGCAAAGAGTGATTTTTTTCAACCTGTGTTTCACCATATGTCAATTATCGTCGTCTCGCCAAATCAAAATTTTGAGTTGTGTTTTCCTCAACCAAGAAAAATGCTCAAAATCAAGTTTCCTGGCTACCTATTATTATTGCATGCACGTCCGAAATACTTTGGAGTGAGGGGAACTATATTTCGGTTGTTGAAAAACAGACAATGCCCTGGGAGGAATGGTGCATCCATGGAGTAAAATGGAGTGAAATAGAGGATCCCCAGAATGGATCACCCATAGACAACACTTCCTCGCTCGGTACAACTTCTTTCACGCAGTTAGCCTTGAAAATGTTTTCAAATGCTAACATAGGCTTCATCAGAGGTTACCAATGCCCATTTCGAAGTGTACGACGTATCCAACTGAAATTCAGCAGTGCAAGTCATAGTAAAGCAGATTATCAAATGAACCTGGACCTTACATTAATCCAAACAAATTTTGAGGGCTACAAGTTTTTGACATGTTACGCTGAACCCTACATTACTTTAGATTTCTACATTACCCCCTTCCAACTGGATCTTTGGTTAGTTTTGGGCACAACAATCGGTATCATCATCGCGTTAACGACTTTGTGTCAACGTTTCTTCAGTCTACTGGAGCAGAAGCGTTTCTCTGCATGGATGTATATTTTGGCGTCGCTTTTCGATGAGTCAGGTTTTATACCTACTCGGATTGAGAGGCACACGTTTTTCAGAATATCACTAGGAATATGGAGCATAATGTCAGTGATATTGACAAACGGTTACAACGGAATTATGATCTCTGGATTAAACGCGCCAAGGAGACTATTTCATCCAGTTTCTTTTAATGAGCTGACTTGCAAACATATGTTCAAAATGGTACTAAAATACTGGAATGCAGACGATAGGAATCTGTCAGGGTCAAACAGAAAAGAGCGTCATAATGTTTTGAAAATTTGGACTTTTGAGTTTATGGCGTTCCATATTGAATTGTGGCGTCTTACTTCTCTGTTACCGGTGAGCCCAGTTTTTGCTGAACAAATTTACGTTAATCTGACCCAGGAAAATAACGCTTGTTACCGACTTCTCTCAGGATTCGAACCAGCTAGCCAAGAACGGGTTCTGCCAGAATTTTTGGCTGTTTTGCAAAACCTGGTAGACACGTACCTGCAGACCCCAAACAATCTAGCAGTCCTTAAATATTTAAGTCTCTTCTCTTCAAAGCATTCCTTCTATCCAAAGGGATTCAGTTATTTGAGCAAAAACTTAACCTTCTCATCGCTTCAGCGAAATACCGAAAGCGAAGTTGTACAATGCGGGAAGACAGTATTCATAGGGAAATCTTCCGAAATTAAACTTGAATATGAATTTTTAACCAAACAATATCCCGACATAAAATTTTCCGTCAGCACCCAAAAAATTCTAAGTTATCCGACAGGTATGTTATTTCAGCACGTGTGGAGATCGCCGGTTGCTACAAGTTTTAAACGCTTAAATGAAGCAGGGATCTAGACTCTAACAGAAAAATATGAATTAAGTAATAAAAATATTAATCGGACCCCTGCTATGATACTGGAGAAAAGCCAGGATTTGAAACCGACTAATATTGCCACACTCAGGGGAACATTACCTACTGTGTTTATTCTAATGGGTGGCTTGATCAGTTTAACAGTTCCAGTGTTTCTCACAGAATACAGGAGGCGAATTTGCCCTCTAGTTCTAAATGTATGTGGGGTACTTGTATTTAGACATTATCATAAGTCTAAGCGAATTGCTGCCAAGAATATTATTGGTATAGCCGTCGCTGTGTGTGATACAGGAAGCAAATAAACCGTAGTTACGTTAGAAGTAGCTCACCCTGTAATAATGACTTGATATAACTTTGCACCAAAGATGATGAATAAGCCAACAAAATCAGTATACAATTATTAAAAAATTTTGCACCGGTCGTGCAGAACACTCCAAAAGAATTGATCTTTAATAATCACATAGTTTTACACCAATGGTCTAACACCAAAGAAAATAAATATCTAATTTTGACATAAATTCGATTTTTGTAACGGCATGAAATCCTGGTGACAAATTATTTTTAAATTATTTCTTCCCGTTATTATGCACTTTTAGTGAACCATGCATCGATTCTCCCAATTGTTCCGCATCATTTTGGATATCCGATTGTTCGAGACTAACATTGCTACTTATTATAATAATATAATAATTTATTCAATGAATAATTCTTTAAAGGCTCATGGCCCATAGAATTACAGGCTAATTCTCAGCATGATTTAACAATATAACAGGTTACATTGTACCCATTACAATTTTCCAAACAATCACGTAGAGGTCGAAACATTACAGAAATTTGACTTGTGACAATGTGACAATATAACATAACATAGCATGTGACAATATAACATTATTCGCAGTAACGTATAACAAAGTTCTATGACATATTCTGATTTCAAAAATGACAAAAGTTCTACGTAACAATTTACGATATAACATCATAACAGCAGAATAATAAGTTGCATTTTTATCAATTGCAAATTTCCAACTACTCATGCAACAGTCGAAGCGTCGTAACAGAAATTTGATTCATCATGTAGCTTCAAACTGGGTACTGGTAAAGAGCTGTACTTTAGCAACATAAAACACAAACCTCCTCATAGCAAATAACTTTTTCGAGCCGCCGTACCAGTTGTAAGTTAACATGCTAAACAGTACGAAATTCTGTGTGACAAGGTGTTACAATTTGCTTCAAAAATGTCCAAAATTCAGTATAACAATGTGACAAAATAACATCATAAAAGTACAATAACAGCGTACAGTTCCAAGATCTTAATTGTTATAATATTACAACGTAATATATAACACCGTAACCGGAGACGTGTGCATTAATAATAACAGATGCAAAATTCCTCAGCGAAGAGTCGTGGTGGTGCGAGGTTGCTCATAATGTCAGTGTAATCACACTTTGCAAAAATACATATTCAAATAAGATGTATGCACTCGAGGGCGTACAAAGTCCAGATAGTGTCAGCACATTCCAGGCATGGTAAGAGCAGAATCCCAATATGTGACGGGCGAGAATGTTCCACCCCCAGGTTCCTACAGCAATTATGAATGCCGGGTTCCATGGGTACGACCAGGCGTCCAAAGAGCCCAATAGTTCCCAGCGGATGACCCTTTGGACGTCCCCTCAAGGTCGACGAGATGTGCCAGGCAGGGCGTCCCCATCCCCACCACACCCAAAAAATGCTCAGCAGTTATGTAGGACGGCAGCCAGGGAAGAGTAGAATGACTCGACGTAGTTGTATTACACGATTTTCACATTACAACAAGTTGATAATAAATTTCCATTACAATTACAAAATACGTACACACTCAACTTGAGCTGGGATAAATTTCTCACCAGCTTAAAATGAAAGTTTCAAGTCCAAATTTTTTAAACAAAATGTGTAAAACAAACAGCTTAAAAACAGCTTAACTGTCGCAAACAATAATTTCTCAATGTGTAATTGATAAGACACATTTACAGAGTTTCATGACAGTAATTTCTTCGTAATTAACTAAATACGCCCACTTATATGTAAAGTCTAAGAGAGTCTCGGAGAGAGCAACCTCACACCACCACGTCTCGCACACGTCTCACAGTGCTACTTATTCCAATATTGTAGTCATTTCTCGATCGATTTTCTCAATTGGTTCGCACCATTTGTGTCATGGATTGATCGACACCAATGGTGGGACTAGACAATTCGATAATGGACAAGGGGATTTTTAATTAGCGTCAATTGATGCAAAAAAACTCGTTAACAGACGGACAGACAGACGGACAAGAGGAATTCAATAGCTCTCATGCTACGCAGGGTGAGCTAATAATTAATTCTAGTATTTTGTTCACAAGAATACAAATTTATGTACATTTAGGATAACAAGTGATGTACGAATGAATGAAGTTATTATTACGATAGTTTTCAGGCCGCTCATGGGGAAAACATAACATGTAATCCATTGTGATCAAATAATATTACGTATACAATTATATATTTCCACGTAACAATTAATATATGTATCTAACCGGAAACAGCAGTTTAGAAAGCAAACAAAAATGTTTTATCGAATCACGCATGAATGAAATATATATACGCAGACTTCACTATAATTCTGTTGTTTTTCGTCCTCTAGACCTATCAGTAATTTAGACTCGAGAGTGGTTTATATTCGTTGGCGGAAAATTTACCCCATAATTATAATCCCACTTGATTTAGATGCTTCATATTTTTTCCATAAAATTATAGGTCACATATTAAATTCACCTAAGACCATAGCATATCAGTAATGGAAATTTCCAATTACCAATATGTGTTTTCCAGATTGGTGACTCTCTAACCTACAAAGTAAATATGTACCACAGCAGAGTATGCATGTATGATCCGAATGTCATTCCTTGTCTTATCGCTTCGACGTTTGAGTGAAGTTTGAGTAAATTGCTTCAGCCATAAAAATATGATTTAAGTGCGGAGACACCAGCATATCTCACTCGTACATTATAAATCAGGTTCATTTATAATGTACCCAATATTCCAGAACGATTTGCCTGACAATGTATCCCACCTCCTTATCGATGAAAATTAATGGATTTGATAAGCACCTCGCAGTCGTTATGAATAAGGCTACTGAATACCTTGATAACCATTCACTTTTAAACCTAAGCTTGAGCTGTACAATCATTTCCAATATTCAAATCTGCATAACCTAAAAAATGGGACTAATTAAAATCGTAATACTGATTCTAAGTTTTACCTTCCTCTGTCAAGGACAGCGTTTAACGGCAACGTACAGCGCAGCCCGTCTCCCTTACGCTATGGATCGAACCGCAGCCTACTACGATGGGGTTGATTCCATTTACCTATTCGGCGGCCGTGCAAATAGCTACGAAGTCAGAAGCATATCTGTCTATTCTATTTCCCAGGATACCATAAAAATGGTCGGGTCAATCTCAAGCACATATTTATTCGAAAGCTGCGTGGAATCTGCTACAAATGGAAACTTATACTATTTTGGGAACGTTGCCTCTTCGTACAGCGTAACTAACAATGCGATGGTGTGAAGTGTAACCCTCCGATTTGGCTGAAATTTTAAAATTAGGTGGTCCAAGCCAATACAACTAACGTTTCTTCAGGCAATTTGTGCGATGGTGAGAGTTACACAAAATATTTGAGGTCAAAGTTCAAAAAACGGCCAATTTTTTTCAGGCGGAATGAGAAAACTCCACTTCCATTCTCTTCCCCTCGCTTTGATTTGCACTCCGAAAAGTAATTAATTTCAACAATTTTAAATTTAATTTTTTATAGAAAAGTATTAATTATTCATTGCACATGTGACAATCTGATTATTTTCATAAAAGTCCACAGAACAATACGATAAATTGCACCAGCTGAATTTGATGAATATGGGATTGCCACAATTCAGGTCGCAACTAATATTTTTTTGAGGATTTTGATTTCGAAAATTGTCCCTGCAGATGATACAAGTGTGTATTGAAAGCTAGGAATAAATATATCTGCATTTTTAAAACAACCATGTCGTCCGAGAAATCCAATACAAATATTTTTTTCTCCAAAACAAACTTCGCTTACATTTTTAAACTCCACCCCATAATCCGCTCGAGTACCAACAATATCGAATCATTGGAACAAACACAGGAGCACTTAAAATATTAGTATATAATTGGATATTAGAATAACCAACGCTTTCGAAATGGAAAGCAAGGTCGTTTTTCCATGTTTATTTGCCGTTGGCGAATTTATAATATAAATTAACTTTTATGTAAAATAAGAAGAGATATCTAGAAATAAGTAAAAATCTCACTTATTTAGCTATGAATTAAATTAAGTATGTATGCATAATGCGTATTAATTGCTTTTTAAGCTATAATTAATAATGTTTATTTTTTATTATTTTGAATCAAAGCTTGTGCTTGTGCATGAAGGCGTATGCGTGAGCGAGACACCTGAATAAAATCAAAGCGGGGGGAAGAGAATGGAAGTGGGGTTTTCTCATTCCGCCTGAAAAAAAATCGGCCGTTTTTGAACTTTGACCTCAAATATTTTGAGTAACTCTCACCATCGCACAAACTGCCTGAAGAAACGTTAGTTGTATTGGCTTGGACCACCTAATTTTAAAATTTCAGCCAAATCGGAGGGTTACACTTCACACCATCGCATTGTAAGTTTGACATTTCAAGAAACACAACCGAAGCAATTGCAGCGCTACCATTTTACCCAGCAGATTGTGGAGCACTTAAGCTCAACCACACTTCCAATATTGTCTACATCTTCAAAGATTCCCCCCTACGTACATTTGACCTCGAAACTATGGTCCTTACTGAGGTTGCCACACTTACGCATTATCCCACAATCTCGACAAAAATTGGAAACTCTGCGATATTTTTTTCCGGCGTATCTGGGCCTGCTCTGGCACGAGTGACCAAATTAAACTTGGACACAATGGAAATGGAGACCCGAAATACTGGACTGCATACTCTAAGTTATGCACGAGTGGCCTCTGACCTTGTTAGATACGTTTATATAATTGGTGGCTACGTTCCAGCTGCTGATCGACCGACGCAAACTATTATTCAATGGGACACACAACTTCACCAGCACGTATACATTCCCGTGGATAATTATCCATTCAGCTATTCGGAAGAATCATGGCAATATTCACCAGCTTCGGTTTACGTGGAAAAATTGAACAGGATTTATTATTTCGGGGGACGATATCGACAAAGGGTGGGTGGTGGAACGATGCCCCTTAGTGCAATATGGCACGTTAATCTGAGCGATATTGATCCCCCAGCCTCGACAACAATACCCACTGAATATCCCAGCACGACGGAGGAAGAACCGGAAACTGAAATTACAACGGAGTCTGCAATTACAACATCCACGACAGTTATTACCACCACAACTACGCCAAATCCAGAAATAATTACTTGTCAAAATAAGACTGATGGTATGTTCTTCAAACAAAATTAAATAAGCTAGGGTAACAAATATAATGTGCTTACGGGAACGAGATGCATATTTAACCTGCATCATTGCTAGGAAGGTTTTTGACTCCAGATTTTCTAACTCATTCATACCTGTGCAAGTGAATTTGCCTTCACTCAACTTCACTCATTTTCACCTCGAGCCAAGTTGCCCTTCACTCCCCTCACTCGCGTGAAGGAAGGCTAAGTGAAGCTTCACTCACTGACAAATCCCCATTCTCACTCCTTCATTCCCTTCACTCCCTTCACTCCCTTCACTCCCTCATTCCCCTCACTCATCTATTTTCCTCACTCTTTCATTCAATTAAGTGCCTCGTGTCGTCATGATTTAAATATTTTGGCGCCATTTAGTGGGGCAATGTGAGACTAGGCTGGGGCAATGTGAGACTGGGCTGGGGCAATGTGAGACTGGGCTGGGGCAATGTGAGACTAGGCTGGGGCAATGTGAGACTAGGCTAGGGAAATGTTAGGCTGGGCTGGGGTAATGTGAGACTGGGCTGGGGCAATGTGAGACTAGGCTGGGGCAATATGAGAATGAGCTGTGGTAATGTGAGAATGAGCTGTGGTAATGTGAGACTTGGCTTGGGTAATGTAACACGAGGCTGGGGCAACGCGAGAATTTGCTAGGGTGAAATGAGACTCACTATTTTCATATGGCCGCGGTGATTTCAGTATGTAACCTAATTATCTACCCTATATTCCTTCACCTTTCTTCCCCCGAGACGAAGGAGTGAAAGAGATGAAGCCTTCATCTCCTTCACCCTTCATCCCACTCACCTTTCGTCTCAGCCTCCCTCACTCACCTTCACTCACTCGATCAAATTTTTCAACTCCCTCACTCAGCTTCACTCTCCTTCACTCCCTCATCGTGAATGAAGCCTTAATTTACCTAAATTGAGTGAAGCTGCACAGGTATGGACTCATTTTACTATATAGAAATTGTATTTCCCGGCCCAAAACCTCGATCAAAATTAAAACATCAGTATTTTCGAGGATTAACCTTTCTCACCGAAAATGGCAATTTGTGTTCAAATTCGAAGCGTGGGTCTCATTTTTAAACGTTACATCTTCAGCACCGTGACCGTGGCAATACCTTTTCAGCTACATATAATAAATTTTAAATTGTAAACTCAAATGTCGATAACAGAAACAGGAACTAAAAATTGATTGGTTTTCACCTAATAAACAAATGGATCGCTGTAGCTACAAATTGGCGTTACTCCATTCAGGTTATTGATTAATTTATCTTTTTTATAGGAATGTATCCACATCCCTACGACTGTGCCATGTTTATTGGATGTCATAATGGTGAACTGGAAATCTTTACGTGTCCCGTCCCACTACTCTTTGACCCGGTTGCGTCAACATGCATGCCACCTCATTTGGTAGATTGCAATATCTCCTGTGTTGGGAAACCAGACGGCGTATATCCACATGGACAGGATTGTTCTCTCTTTATCACCTGCGTCAGCGAGATATTGGAAGTTTACAGGTGTCCACCACCACTTCTTTTTGATCCAATCCTGTTGGTTTGTAATTACCCGGAGTTCGTGGATTGTGTGTAATCAATCTATTGTTATATAATAATTGATAATGGCTTGTTGTAACGTTCTATTATTGTAATTTACTGCTGACTGCAGTGTGCACAATGGTTTCCAAAAATATACTTACCTTAAATACATACAATTGTATTCTTCTTTATGATATCGATGTAATAAATCCGCATCAATCTGTCTTATTACAAGCGATCCATTTGAAAATAAATTTAAAACTTAATTTAAAGTTTTGCGCCTAAACAGGAGAAATTCAGTGGTTGTGTTTCAGTGAAATATATTTATTTAAGCAACAGAGTCAGCCGATTTTGTGCGCACTATGATGAAGAATCAATTAGGATTTAAAAGTATAACGTGTTTGTAAAGTTATCCTGAAGTTGACATACATAAAGTTTTATTTTTAACATCCAATCTGATGGATTGCTTAAGTGACATGTAAGCCAGGTGCATGTAATGAAATGTAAATAAATTTTTAAGCATAAATAACAATTATTCTATCTATTTGAGTTTTTGACTTAAATATTTGACACCTGCTTCGCCATAAATTTTCGGACATTTAAATTATTTAACATTTAATTCCTCATAAATTAAATAAGTCACTCCAGATTTAAGTAACGTACACTTATTTCTAGATGGTGGGCTAAAACATTTACGCTAATTACAAAAACTACATCCTTGAAAATTTGATGAATTTTTGACCTACTTCGATCAAAAAAACGAAACTTGATGTAAGCAGTATACCGCCACAAAGAATAAATAATGTTAAAATTGCTCCATCCAATCCAAATCTTTTGAAAAGTTGTTCCGACAGATTCTTAATTGGTTGACGAGATAAATATTTCTGGTGATTTTCCTCTTCTCGTAACCTCGTAAATATTCCGGTCTCAACTAGATTTTTGAAACAATTTGGTACTTTTGAAAACCCAGCCTGGTAAAAGTACCAGCTTATACGAACCATACCCAGGACTTCTTTGCCCTTGTAAAATTTTTTAGTCGGATAGTGTTTAACCAAGAAATTGAACTCTATTTCTAGGGCGTCAGATTTTAAAATGAGAGCAGAGTTCTTGCATTCAATCAATTCATGTTCCACACTATTTCTCAGTTGGAGAAACGTCTGGTTTGGGTTCGAATATTGGAAACCTCTAGGATGGTGGGTGTGTCGTGGATCCAATAAGCTTAATAACTGAAGCAAATCTTTGCCGAAAGGTGCCGACTGATCATTACCTGGTAATTTATCTAATATTTCGACGACTAAATAGTTTAAAAATTCAGGGAGGGTGGGATACCCGGTTAGATAGTCATGTGGAAAAGACAGCATATGGAAACATTGGTTTGAGGCATATAGGTTTTCGAGATCACCAATTGGTAAATATTCCTTTGTAGACGTTCTCATATTTATTCTCTGGTAAACCAATACTGCAAAGTACCAGGCAATCCGATCGTAACAATTGTTTGAGTCTAGTTCACCTATATCGATTGCTTCGTTAAGATTTTTAAATTTGCTTATATAGAAACTACCCCTTGTTATCAATTTAGTTGTGTGGAGCTCCTCCATTCTGTCCCAGAGAAGATGGTCGAAGACGGAAGGTCGTGATGACTCAAGGGGGGAATTAAGTTCTGAAATCATAACCCCGTTGTAGCAATTTGTTATAATGACAGACATGAGACACCAGGAGCCCATAATCAGGCGAAAAAACCAGTTTCCTTCAATTTTCCTGGGAACATGACCGCATTCTTCAAGAAGGGTAGCAAGGACGAAAATCCATGGAGCGAATGAAATAATTCTGAAGTTCGAAAAGTATTTATGGACACTCATAATTACTATAATCAACGCCAATAAGACTATCAAAGTCAGCCAAAGCCCTGTCTTAAACGGGGTAATGTACAACTTGAAAGTGATGAAAGTATTCCGATAGCAGGTTAAATACTGATACCCCAAATTTTCCGTTGTTGTGAACGTCATCCTGTCAATGAGTCCTATCTCTTTTGTTGAAACTAGCAGAGTTGGAAGCTGAGGGAAGTATTTGCTTTCCAACTCTATTGTTTCGTTTACTGCGTAAAATACAATGTTTAGAATATGTTCAACATGTGAAATTCTGGGGTCAGTGATAAACGGATTGACTAATTTTTCTCCAATGACACCCATCTTAAAATGAGCTGCATATGTACCAAAGGTGTCTGAAAAACACCAACCTGGCCATGTGATACGCATATTTTGGGAATGCAGTGGCACATATATAACAATGTCAAACACGTTGTTAGACAGATAACCCAATTTTTCTGCCCGACAATACAAACTATGGTTCAGGTCAGCATAGTTGGTTAGATCAGTACTCCAATTTTTGGCGCACCAGGCGCATGGTTCAATTCTTTCATTGTAGAAGATTAAGACGGAAATTTTGAAATAATTATCCATTTGGAAAAAAACCTGGGAAAGTCTATGTCTATTTGGATATGTTGTGACAAATGTTACAATCAGATTTTTACCTCGTAGGTAAAATTGCGAGTAATTTTCGTGATAAAACAAGTGCCCCTCACTTGCAACTAGAAGCCATTTGTCTAAATTCAAATTTGATGAAATTGGTGATTCGCCAATTCCCAAATTAGAAAGGAAAATTGCAAGTTTGCAGTTTGTCAGTACTCGCGATTTGGATGTGTCTATTTGCCGAGATTTCCGCTCATCGGCCGTCATTGGCGATTGGGATATGTGTGCCAATTTGGTAGGTAAATTAAGATTGAACCAATCGATATTATTCATCTGCCCATCGTTGAGTACTTGAAGATCGCATGTGTTTAGTTTGTGGAGCAGGATCTCGAACACGGGAAGAAGCTTTTGCACGGAGGAATTAATTTGTTCAAATTGTGCAACACAAAGCAGAATCGGAATCAGATATTGAATTCTTGCCATTTCATTTATTGGTGTAATCGTAAAATTTGTTCAGAACTTAGCTTAGTGTTCAAAGCTTAGTTATAATAAACTAGCCTATAAGCCCGTCTTAACGACGGGCCACATTTCAAATTATACCCGAACATATAAAAACGACTTAGAAAATTAATTTTCTTTATGTTGCCAACGAATTGTTTTATGTTGCTAAGGAACTTTTTTATGTTGCTCAGGAAAGTTTTTTATGTTGCTGAGGAATTTTGTGACAATCATATTCATAAGATGATGAAGATGATCTAATCATATTCATATTCATAACCATATTGGAACATTGGATCTATTCCCTGATTGGTGGAGCAGGAAAACCAACAGCCAATCAGAATGCAGGAATGTCACGGAAAATTTCACGGGACGGACTTTTCGAAACTATAATATAGATAGGTGGCTATACGGCTTCCATTTGCTACATTTGGAGATGAAACCTTATGAGTTGTACACTCATAAAGATTTTGCTAGAGGATTATCACAAACCAGCGGCCAGATGGACAAAGTTCCACCCGATGGTCACCATACGCCACCGATCGCTCACACCTTGATCACCGTCGGTGCTATTTAATCAGCACGCGAAAGCATACCACCATTAGCACGACAGAAACAACAAGCACCACACCCGGTTTAGTGTCGTTTATTCACAGCAATCCCTAAGAAGTCTTTTTACACGACTTCTTCACACTTTCCGTCGCCTTTCAAAACTAAATAAACCAAAGGTTTTAAGGATAGATGCAGAAGAACAAATCGCACTTGGATAGCTTGGTAACGAGGCCACCTAATTTCTGATTGGCTTACATGTTTCGTATTAAGAGACACGTATGCATTTACGAGGGGATTCTGCAACAACTATGTAAAGCGAAGGATTATTTCCGTACGAGTGGGTTTGAAGGATAAGTTTGAGCAATTCGTTTCGTCAAGAATATAACTAGTGGATGACCCGAAAGGGGGAAAATTACGTATAAATTATGCAGAATAATGTTATTCTTCGTTTTCCAGGAAATTAGCTTATAAATATTTTCCATCTAATCGGACGCATCGTAATGGTGCATGAATAAAATGTGATTACGTGGATAAGCTCTTAATATTTATGCAAAATAAGTATACTTTCCTCGTGTTTGTTTTGACAACATTTGAGTACTGCGTAGTTACCAATGTACAAATGTAAATTGTATGCATATATAAATTTATGTAGCTTAGGTAAGTAACTAACTCATTAAGAGATAAGCCGATTGATAGACTGAATAAATGAGCGATTAATATTTTCCTTTAATTTAACTAAATCATATGTATGTATTTAGATATTTTTACATACATATGTACATACATAAATACATTTTAAACTCGTAGACCAGCAAGCCAGTTTGGAATTAAGCTTTACTTTTTACGTCCTATCCACATTAGCAACCTTCTTATGCAACACATTGAGTAAAGCATCTCATCAGAACGGAGTTGAAACTGGTAGATAAGATTGATCCATCGTTCGCCCGACGGGATTTTATGTATAGTAAAGGATTTGTTCCCAATCGATCTCTGTGACAAATCGTCACCAGTAATCATTCCGCTTTGAACTAACAAGGGAAGGTCCCCGACTGCTTATCGTGTCCAGAGTACCCACCATGTTTTTTAGAATCTACTAGGACCCCAAATGAAGGATTCATTCATATTTCCATGTAAAACTCATATTTGGCGCCATGGCGTGGCGCCAAACTTAAAAATTTGCATTTTCGACCAATTTCAAGCCCTCATAACTTTTACACTTTATGTCGGATTTTCAAATTTTTATGCTTAAAATGATCACAAAAGTCGAAATTTTTGAGAAAAAAATAAAAATAAAAAATTTCTAATTTTTGAGATATTTTTCGCATTTTTTTGACGAACCCCCATTTCTAAGAAAATTTCGAAATTTTGCGAAAAGTTAAAATCGATAATTTTGGAAAAAATTTCAGGGAATACGAAAGTTGAACTCCTTGTCATGATTTTTGCCAAAAATTTTGAGAATCCGTCCAGGATTTCAAAAGTTATGGCGGTTTCAAAAATAAAAACATTCAAATTTGGCGAATTTGGCGCCACGCCATTGGGCCAAATATGAGTTTTACACGGAAATATGAATGAATCCTTCATCTTGGGTCCTAGTAGATTCTAAAAAACATAGTGGGTACCCTGGACACGATAAGCAATCGGGGACCTTCCCTTGTAAGTAGAACACATTTCCAAACAATATCTGATTAAAGAAATATGCATCTGTGGAAAATAAAGAAACAAAATTTATTGGCAATTTTGCTCATAGGTTATGTTATCCTTCCAGTAAAGGTAAATACGTTGGTATAAATCCAGTATTAAATTAATACCAAGCAGTATTCATTCATATGTATATGACACTGCCAAAGTGCTCGTGATAAATAAAACCGTGTAGTAATAAATATCTTCTCGTAATAAAATTGCATTACATATGTATGTTGATCGGTAGTCAATTTTTACGGGCCGCTATAATTTCCTATGTTTACCACACTTTAGTTTGGGAAATCGAACCGAACCAGCAATTTTAACCCAAAATTCCTGAACATGATCAGCAATTTTAAATAAATTTCCGACCCGAACCAGCAGTTTTTTAAAAAATTCCCGAGCAGAACTGAACCAGGTTCGGTTTGGGGTTCCGTTCGTTTCGGTACCACAAAATAGCAAGTGTGATATGTACCATGTGGTAGCAAGTTTAATGCGAATAAATGCGTGACTAAGCTAACTTTCTAGTCGTGTACTACCAATGAAATTAATTGGTTATACACGCATTAATGCATCTAATTAACGCTTTGTTGAACTTAATTTAATTGATTTTAATTTATAATATTCCAGACCGCCAAAACTAGAGTAAAGCGATACGAAGATCTGACCGATCGCATGGAACCGATTGACCTCAGGGTTGCAATAACCGAAACGCGAAAAGTTAAGAGAGATGTGGCCGCCCTGGATAGAAAAGTTGATCTCTTACGATCAGAAATAGGGGAAATAAAAGATTTAATTGTATCACAACAGAATCAGCTAAGCTTAAAGGTGGACAACTTGCAAAATTCTTTTACCGAGGTGTCCGCTAGACATGAAAATTGGACAAACGCAATTGTTGACTTGGTAATGAAGAAACCTTACCAGCTTGAAAAGAGCATGGTGTTTAATATCCATTGACGTATAAAATTAGTCTAAATAAAAATGAGTAAAACTTACTCATGGTTGAGTAAAGACGAGGATGACACAACCTCAGAGTTTTACATTTAGGTAGAGGGATTCACTTGCACAGATTGGGCTAACCTAAATTGGGGTACATTAAGACACAATTTGGCTTTACCAATCTCACTTTTAAATCCAAAAAATTGGAAAGTCGAAAGGGTTCAAATACCGTTGTGATTTGTTTTGCTGTTTGGAAAGTTTTGCTTTTTAAAGAAAATCAGGAACATTTTAAATTTCAAGCCTGGAAATTTTAACTTGAATTTTTATTAAATTTTCCGCCTTGGAAAAGTGTTAAGGTCTTATTAATTACTCATTTTTAGAAATATGCTGATTTGGCCATGTTTTCCTGAGTAAATCCCTCTACCTTATCCATATCGAGCTCTGTGGATGCAACCGAAAGTTAATCTTTTTTAACCGTTGGTTAAAATTTGTCAAATGGGTGGATAAATTTTGTCTTTTAGTTCAGTCATCCTCTTTTTCAAACAAATTACTATCATTACTAAATTTTATTGAGAGTACACATTGGTACTGCTTCGTGTAATTTCAGGTAGAATTAGCTCTGGAAAAGAAGGGGGATGAAACGAATTGTACACCACATCCGTCAGATTTATGTCAGGACAATTTGACACTAGAAAGGGACCAAGAATCGGGTAGAGTTCTGGATAAAGACGAATCTTTAATTGATTTGGGAAGTAACTTGGTGGATTTATTATTTCGTTAAAGGAATATTGTAAAATATTGATTGTCAATTGACTTAAAATTTTATTAATCAAATGTTACAATTTATTTCAGTTAATAAATCTGCGAAAAATAACTTGATTTTGACGATGGACGTGTGTGTATATGCATATGTAAATATGTAATAAATTTCAGAAACTATGTATTCCTCCTCACCCGTTTCTTTCTTCTGGAATATTTCCGTCACGCCTTTTTGCGCGACCGCCATCGTGGGCGAGTTCAAATTGAAGTTTGTCACCTTTGGCATCACACTCGCATCCACGACTCGCAAGTTTTGTATACCAAACACTCTGAAAGTAATATAATTTCCTTGAAATTTGAAATCTTAGAAAAATTGGTAAAACTTAATTTTAAAAATGAATTACTCCATTTTCGAGTTAACCACGGCCATGGGGTCATTCTCCTTGCCCATCTTGCAAGTTCTCGACCAGTGCCACTGCGTTGTCCCCAACCTTTTTAGGACACACTTCCACAGATCTGGAGATCTACGCGGGAATTCCAGACAAGCCGGGGGAATGAAAGACTCGTCCAACGTGTAATTATTCCCTTTGAAGGCTTCTGTCCCCTCCATAATTTTGATGGCGAGATTAATCCCCTCGATAAGTGCGTCCATGTCGGTGGGATCGCTAAAATATTTGAAATTGCTGTTACCCAACTGCCCATTCGCAGTTTGCCCTGCAAGATAAGCGGTCGTATTGAAGACGAATTGCCCCACGCTTTTTGGGCGGGATAAACTGCATTCCCAAACTGCCCCGCCCGGGTTTTCGGCGATAAAGGGTTGGTCTATCATTTGGACTTGGAGGTCGCCCCAGTCGCCTTCGTTGTCGGTTTTGGCGCGCGAGGAAACCGCGAAGGCTTGTGTGCGACGTTGGTGGGTGAGGTAGCCGTCGTGTTTGCGCGGGTTATCTTGAAATTTGTGGAGTTCTTGTTCGAAATCTGGGTCGCGATAGGAACCGTCGTTTCGGCGGAAGGTGAGGACAAGCATGACGTGATCCCATAAGTTGAAACCGAGGCCGGGCATGGCTTTTTTGACGGGAATCCGGAAATTGGGAGGGGAAGGTTGAAAGGTTTAGGCAAACGAGTCAAATTTTTAGAAATGTTAAGAAAATTCTTAACATTCCTGTTTCTTTTTAAAAATTCTGTCGTGTAAACACAAAAAGGATTGAAACAAAGGCGACATTTTAATTCAAGGCGGGTATAACCTTGAGCCCATTTTGGATTTGGCCACCAATTTGTCCAGTTTTCTGCAGAAGGTTCTACAGAATGATAACCATACAGAGTTTCTGAAGTGTTACGTAGGAAATATTCAGAATATACTATCCACCGAGATTTTATCGATTGGTGCAATTTTAGAGGAGTTTGCTAGTCGTGAAGGGTCAAACAAGTTTTGTCGCGCTATTTCCAAATAATGGTTGTTACGGTTTTAAGTTTTTCTAAACAAGTACATATTAATTTTTACTTTGGTCAGCCTGAAGAACCTCCTGTGGCCCGATCCCAGATTTGGTGAGCAGGATGGAGACCCGAACGCCCCCGCGGAGACGATGACTTCCCTCTTGGCGTGAGCTATATGTGGGATTCCGTGACGACTGTAAGCAACCCCGTAAGCGGTGTTGTTGCCGCCAATCAAAATCTGTGGAGTTCAAAGTTTGCAGTTGGTATCCTTAAAATTTGAAAAAGGTGTGTTTATAGTTCACGTTATCGTCACTTCAGTCGGCCGATTCGAGTTATTGATTGGGAAAAATTTTTGGTTTTATGATCCTTAGTGTTTTCCACGCAATTAAATTTTCGAATTCTCAAAGTGAAGTGAATCACTTCAAGTGATGATGATGTGAACTATAAATGCACCTTTAAGGGTTACCCTGTCTGCTTGCGAATATCTGTGAATTGTGGGGTGCCACATGGTCTTCTTTTTGACGAAGGCATCGTACGTGCTTTCTCGGATCCCGTTCCGAATGGAAATGGATTGAGCCGTAAATGCTAAAAAAGTTCAGAATTTTTAAAAGGTTTTCAATTTATTTGAGTCACTTACAAGGTGTTTGATGTGCATTTGGATCGCTGAAGTTGTATCCTAGTTCACTTGCAGCCATGGTCCACTTGTGCAAAAAGTCGGGAATGTCCACGTCCACGCGTAAGGGGCCAAATTTTCCGTAGTATTCTGAAAAAGGAAACTTAATTGTAAATTTCGTGGATTTGAAGCTTATAATTTTTCTGTTTACGATAACGCTGATTCTCATTGACCAGCCGCCCCACAAAATTCTCGGAATCTTTGAAATGTTTCAGCATGTGTTTATAATCCCAGGTCTCGTCATCGAGGAGTTTTGCCCAATAATCGAAATCCAGAGGGGATCCTCGGTTGTAAACGTTCGAATTGTGGGATCCCGAACCCCCCAACATTCGACCGGCGTGAACAGTTGCAATCTGTGTAAAATAGAGTAATAAAATATGATAGTTTCCCAATTTTTCTTAAATTTTTGTTTAAAAAACTTCGAAATGGAGAAACTAATGTGTCATAAAACTAATGGAAAAATTACATCCACCGGAATTAGAAAATGAACATCATTTAAAAAAGTCTTTAGGTGGAATAGCTCTGTCATAGATTTTCCGTTCGTCACTTTACCCGTATTATATGCCTTTAAATGTAAATTTCTAAAATAGACTCAATTTCCCAATGTCCTAGATAAAAAGTGATTTTTTCTAACACGAAACCATAGGCTTGAATAAAAAATTAGTCCCATAAGTCTCCCATGGAGAGGGCGCTCGAGGAGAGAACACGTCATTTGGCTCTCCTCCATTTCTAATATTTTTTAAGTTTTAAAAATTTGACGAATAGGGTCACCCCCATTTTAAAATTTCTTCCCATCCAGTTCCTTTAGACCCCTAGTGGGTAGTGAAAGTGTTTTTCGTTGGGGGGAACGTGTTTTGGGAACTTTCTGTAGTTTTAGTGGGGCCACGTTCTTCCCAACACGTAGCAGTTCGCCCCGCCTGCCCATAGCAACCGTTGTCAAGGGCCAGTTTTCTCCCGTTTTTCACCTGTGGCCGGATCAGGAAGGATTTCCCACGACTCAGTTCGTGTAGGGGGGAGGTCCCTGCGCCCCCAGAAGCGGCACGGAGTTTGAGTGTTCCGTTTTCTGATGGGGCTGGCCTCTCTCACGCATTTTAAATGCCTTGTTCAGGCGAGATTTTTTTTTTAATCTTATTTTATAGTGGCAGGAAACCACTAATTCTTTTTGTTTCCTTGGGTGGGACTAATTGGTCTCTCTGCGCGCTCAAGGCCCCACACAGACAATGTCCACACCGCAAGGAAACGCCGATCCCCCCCTCGTCGCAACCCCCGCGGGACGTCTCCACACTGCACCTCGCCCCCGCGGCCGACCCCGCAAATCCATCATCGAAACCCCCCTCTCTGCCATCGGATCAGGCGGAGATGAGCCTTCCTCGAGTGTCGGGGCGACGTCAGCCACGATTTGTGGCGCTGATCCCCCTTCTCTTTCCGACACGTCACTCATTGTCCCCCGACCTTGCCGGTCATCCGTTTCCCCCACGTCCCCTGGTGTTACCAAAAAAGACACCATTTCTTCCGCCCAGGACTGGGTTCGTAATTCTTTTGTTGTTGTCGACCCCAACAATCACCCTCCAATCCGTCTGAAGAAAGCGGACGTCTTCGCCCGCTACGCTGTTTACGTCGCCCAGAGCGGGGAGGGCGGAGTCTCGGAGTCCACCATTGGGAAATACATAAAACAGTTTTTCCCTGACACCATCACCCGTCGCGTTGGAGCCAGGGGTGGCCTCCACAACTGTTTTGAGGGTATCCAGTGGGTGGATGCACCTCCACCTTCACCTCAACAACAACAACAACGCGACGATTGGGGAGAAATTCTCGCCCGCCTCAAGACCACCACGCCCACTTTGCGAAGAGTCCCCCGCGGCGCAAGAAGGTCTGTGGCGCAGTGCCTCGCCACAATTCTGCAGCAAGTGACGGAATCGGACGACGAAGAAAGCTGGGGAAAGTTGCTCCTCTTTCCCTATGCAACACTCCCAGTCCCACACAAGTCAGATCGCATCAAGAACTTGACAACCTGGGTCAAGGATCATACTGCGGGGTGGGTGGGTGGCTTCTCAATCCCTCGGCCCCTCCCACCACGCCCACCCTCTAAAAAACCCCCACTCGACATGACGGCGAAAAAGGTGGAGGCCAAGCTGGCAGATGGTGACATTCGGGGAGCAATCCGCCTCGCATGCTCCGACGACACCATTGCTCCGTCCGACGACCACACCCTTTCTGCCCTTCTCACAAAACCCCCAGCCCACCCACAACCAGTCAACTTTCCTCCACCACTTGAGGATCCTGCCATTGCCCCGGTTTTGGATGAAGAGCTGCTCCGGGCCATTTCCTCTTTTCCGCCAGGGTCCGCGGGGGGACTGGACGGGATGAGACCCCAGATCTTGAAGGATCTCCTGGGGTGCAGTCAAGGAGAGGGGGGCGACCAACTCGCCGAAGCAATGCGGACCTTCCTCTACAAGGTCCTTTCCGGGGGAGTCCCGCCAACTTTTTGCCCCCTTTTTTACGGACCCTCCCTCACGGCGTTAAAGAAGAAGTCGGGCGGGATCCGTCCCATCGCCGTGGGGAATGCGTGGCGGCGCTTGGCCACGAAGATCGTCGTGGGGAGAATTACTCCCCAATTAATCAAACATTTTTCCCCCCACCAATTGGGGGTGGGGATCAAGGGAGGAGCGGAAATCAGCGCCCACGCCGCCCGAAGCTACTACGGCCACACCCACACTTCCCCCAAAGCGTTCCTGAAAATTGACTTCAGGAACGCCTTCAACGAAATAATACGGCGGGACACGCTACTCCACGCCGTCCGCGACCTCTTCCCCTCAATCTTTCCATTTGTAGCGCAATGCTACGAAAACCCATCGTCGCTTTTTTATGGGACAATTCCCATCCCCTCCCTCCTTGGGTGCCATCAGGGCGACCCCTTAGGCCCCGCCCTCTTCTCCCTCGTAATCCACCCCATCGTCGAAGCAATGGAAACGGAGTTAAACTTATGGTACCTCGACGATGGGGCCATCGGGGACACACCGGAGAAGGTCCTGACGGCCCTGGCAACCATTGCTAGGATGAGTGGTGAGGTGGGCCTGCATCTCAACCACGACAAGTGTGAAGTGGGGATCCTGGGGGCGGAGCGGGACACCGCCATCGACATTCTCCTCCAATTCCAACAAGTTGCCCCCGGAATCCAGCTGATGTCCCCTGAATCCGCGATGCTGCTGGGCGCCCCCCTAACCAACGAAGCTTGCGAGTGGTCTTGGCCACGAAGACGCAGCAATTGACCACCTTCTCCCATCGACTCCTCAACCTTTCGGCTCATTCGGCCTTCTTTCTCCTGCGGGCGTGGATTTCCATCCCTCGTCTGATTTACTTTCCCCGCTGCGCCCCATCTTGGAGAAAGCTGGACGCCTCGTCCACTACGACGCCACGCTAAAGGACGCCCTGGAAGGGATCCTCAACTGTACCCACTTGGAGGCTGCATGGATGCAGTCCTCCCTCCCCGTGAAGGAAGGCGGCCTGGGGGTCAGGCACGCTGTGGATGTGGCGATACCGTGCTTTTTAGCGTCGGTCCACAGCGTCCTGCCCCACGTAGAACGTCTCCTTCCGGACCACCTCCATGGCACCGACATCGCCATGGCAGAGGGGGTGCAGCGGTGGACCGACCTGGGCCTCACCGACCTCCCACCTGAGACCGTGAGGGGGATCCAGGCAGCTTGGGAACGCCCCATATTGGACAACACTTTGTCCAAACTCGCCGATTTGGCAGTTATCCCGGAGGATACTGCCCGCCTACGCTCCCTCCGTGACAAATTTGCGGGGGTGTGGCTCAACGCCCTCCCCTCTCCACAACTGGGCACTCTTCTCCCAAATGAGACCTTTCGTGTCGCCATCGCACTCCGCCTCGGCTGCGATATCTGCGAGCCCCACAAGTGCCCGTGCGGGGCGCAGGTTACCTCCCGAGGCTACCACGGCCTCTCCTGCCGCCGAAGTAAGGGTCGTTGGTCCCGCCATGAGGCCGCCAACGACGTCATCGCCAGAGCCCTCCGGTCTGCCGAAGTACCCTGCATCAGGGATCCCGCGGGGTGCTCCACTACGGACGGCAAGCGTCCCGACGGGATGACACTTGTCCCTTGGTCGCGGGGGAGGTCCCTTGTCTGGGACTTCACCTGCGCGGACACATTCGCCCCCAGCTACCTCCCCGACACCGTGCGCCATCAGGGCGCTTCCGCCAGCAAGGCAGAGGACCGGAAGAGGAAGAGGTACGCTTTCCTCATGGACCGATACATCTTTGTCCCCGTTGCCATGGAGACCAAAGGAGTATGGGGGCAGGAAGAACTTGCCTTCATCCTCCAAGTTGGTCAGCGGATCGCCGCCACAACTGGGCAGGCCAACGCCGTGAACTTTTTGCGCCAGCGGGTTTCCCTCGCCGCGCAACGTGGGAACGTTGCTTCGATTCTGGGTACTCTTCCTCCAGGAAAGGAACTGGAGGAAGTGTACTATTTGTAGTCCGCTCTCTCTCTCCCATTCTTACGGACTTTTTCTGCGATTTTCTGCGTTTTTTTAAGTTTAGGGACTTATTTGTGCGACTGCTGAGTAGTCAGATTTTTCGATACTTTTTGTGATACATATTTTTTTTACACATACTCTGCGATACACCTTATACTAAGCTTTAATAAAGAAAACTATATCGTGCAAAAAAAAAAAAAAAAAAAAAAAATTAGTCAACTTTTTTTCAGGATAGTTTATCTTAACAAACTGGATTTTTTTTCTAACTCATATTTTAGCAGTATGAAAAATAAAATGTGTATTTAAATATGAACAGTTGAGGCTGATCTGAAAACCAGTCATAAAATTGATGAGAGTATATAAATTTACATTGAATGGGGGTAGGATGACATTAGAAATCTATGCCAAATCAGGGCTTCATGCTATAGAACGTTAACTTACCCCATTATCATCCAACGCGGAAGTCGATTGAGGTATGGACGTGTAAATTTCACTGATTGCAGGATGCGTCCTTATATCGTAAGATTTGATGGAACCAATATACGCGGGATAAACGGGTGGAGGCGGGTCCGAGTTCAAGTAGGAGAACGCTGAACCTATTCGATAATCTGCCCGCCACTAAACTTCCCGCCGTCCCGGCGCCAACTGAGGAATTACATAAATTTGTTTACAAATATATTTTTGTCTAACTGTAAGGTCCTCTTGTACCACGTGTTGGGAAGAAGTCTGAAAATGCCCAAACTCCTTAAGCAAAAATGTTAAACTTTAAACCCCAGAGTTTAATTTAGTTTCGGATAAAATAAGACGTAATTCGTTTGCACTGATGAAGATCTAAATTACAAATTTACAAAGTTCAGAGATCAGAATTTTTATATTTTTTTTTCTTGACTAAAATTAATCGATCGAAAAAATAAAAGGAAACCTGCTTGTCTGTAAACGTTGCAAATTTAAAAATTTGAATTTTATTAAGGGACAGGATGTATTTACATAATATTTACTCCGGAATCGACCCAGTTGATTATCTCTAAAGTTTGA